TTAATTTTCAAAGGCAGCTCTTCAAATACACATGATTTATGAAGGAAAAATTGACATTCTGGGCAGTAATAAAAAGAACTACCAGATAATGATTCTGGGCAAACAAAGCAATGAGAACGTAGCTCAACCTTATAGCCGTCGCTAATAAGGTTCTTTTGGATGAAGAAGAGTGGGTGTTCATCAACATCACTAAAATGATGATCACGTTTTGGGAAATTTCCAGTGAGGAATTGTGGGAGAAAGGCACATTTTATATCAAGGTTGAAATGACCAGAAGAACAATGGTAAAACAATCCTCCAGGATAACGATTCTTACGACAAAATTGACAAAGTATTGCTCTATCCCATTTAAGAAGAGTAAGAGTAAGAGTGTGCTTCTCATGGAAAGGGTGATTGATGTTCAATGGTAGCTCAGTCTCAGAACATGATTTATGAAGGAAAAGCTCACAAGCAAGACAAGTGTAAAAGGAAGAATCAGATGATAACTGTTCGAAGCAAACGCTGCAATGGCGGGAAGAATCTAGTTCAACTTCATGGCTAAGATTTTCGATGAAGAAGAATGGGTGTTCAACATGAAAGTGATGATCAACTTTTGGAAACTCTCCATTGAGGAATTCTGGGAGCAAGGCACATTTGATGTCAAGGTCAAATTGACAAGAAGAACAGTGGTAAACAAATCCATCAACGTCCCTGTCACAAAAATTACAAACTGCAGGCCCACTTTCGTATGGTGAATCAGATAGAAGAATGAGAGGATGTTTATCATGGAAGGGGTGAGTGATGTTCAATGGTAGCTCAGAACATGATTTATGAAGGAAAAACTTACAGTCGATGCATGCATAGAACTGAGTTGAGATTGGCTGCCCACATCCTGATGAGCAATTAACACTACTAGTCTCACTGTGGACATTGCTCCACTCTTCAAAGAAATGCAGTGGATGTTCATGAAGAAAGTTTTTGGGCTCCATCCGCTCTCTCTCTGTATATATATATCAGAATGCAGATATGTGAGACAATAGCAAGTGAGATGGGAAATATAAGTTGTTGAAAACTAGTTAGCTAGCTTCAGGTGAGGATGAGGTATCCATAAAAGCAAGGAGCAACACCCTATTTACAAACTTTGAAAAACCACTTACACCACTGTTGTAAGTGTGTGACAAAAGGGAATTGCGTCAAATTAAACTCTCTTGCTTCTCCTTTCCTTTATTCCATTTTCTTTCTCATTTGCCCTTTCTCTTTTCCTTGCTCCTTTTCTTTTACTGTTTTTCTTTTTCCATTATTAGCTAATTAAGCAAACAATTAAACATAAAACCTCACTCAGCTCATTCCCAAGTGCAGTATTCATCACACTTGGCATAAAGGCATCATGCACTGTATCATTGCTGAGAATCGCTTTAATGTTTCCCATAGCTTGCATATTTTGTGACCCCACCCCTCTTGCCATCGCTACTTTTTTATGCTTAGGGGGTTGGTTATTCCCAGGGACTATTGTAACTAATTTCTTTGTATTCTTTATTTTCATCAAAAAAAAAAGAAAGAAAGAAAAAAAACTCAAAATTCGCTTACATTCAGTCAAACCTTAAAATAGAATTAAGAGAGGAAAAATAGGAGCTCTTCGTATTCATTTCTAAAATTATCAGAAATAAAGTAAATTAAATTCTATCTAGAAGCAAAAATAAATAAGTTTATGAGAGAAGATGATAAATAAGTCTATGAGAATAATATGGGATTATAAATAAAGGATTTTTCATTCAAAATATTGTTAAAAGCTTTCATACTTGGTTGATTTTATAATAGTAATATTTTATAGAAGACATAAACCCTAATAAAAAAAAAAAGACATTCAATTAAAAATAAATTTATAAACTAATAAGATACTTGCATACTAAGTTTAGAATAAATAGAAAAGATATCTTGAGAAAGGATCTATTTGCTTTGAAGCCTTAAAAACGTAAAATCCTAATTAAAATAAAAGTCTAACTTGTAAAAGAAGCAAATCTTTGAATGCAAATTAATTTTGAAAGTTGAAACCCATTTTGTGATTTTCATTTCTTTTAGATTCCGCATCATTCTTTCCCACTATTGTAAACTTAGCCTCGAAGTTTTAAAATGTCGAAGCATTAGAAAGCTTGAAGTTTCAAGGTAGTTCCAAACAAGAAAATATTCTTCAAATTAGTGTATATTCAAATTAAATTACTTTAATTAAAACCTATAATGATTAAAACCTATTGTATGGTATATATAGAATTAAAATAATAGCACAGTTTACTAAAAAAATATATAACATTTGAAATATAAGAGTACTTTCAATAAGAAACGGTATTTTGTTTTTTGCTTTTTTGTCTATGACATGAGGGCACAACGTGGAGTTAAAAGGGATTTTACCGTAACTTGTTAGAAAACTTTTTTAAATCTCTTAATATTAGGTTGAAAATTTTATTAAAAGTTAATAAAATAAAATAAAATATTAGTATACATCAATTTTGATAAATTATATTTAAAAATTAAAATTTTAAT